TCATAAGCAGGTCTGTGAAGCGCTAAAAATATCTCGACCATAATTTCATTAAGATTTTAGCTTCTAAAGGTTAATGAAGATCTAAGTGTTAACAGGGACGAGTTTCCTTCAAGTATTTTTAGTTAAGAGAAGATAAGATAAAATACTGAGTTACGATAATTTTAAGGTCAATTTGCTATCTGAACCGACATCTTTAGCTCCGTCGGTTTAAGTGAGGCAGATAGAGGTGATCTCACAGCGCTGAAGACGAGAGAGAAATTTTAACGCAAGACCCTTTGAGAATCCAAGACCCAGACCCGGGTAGCAGTTAGGTGGAGAGGGAGGGAGGGAGAGAGAAGGAGGTAGGGAGAGGGAAAGAGAGGGAAGTAAAGAGATGTAAGAGGGAAGGAGAGCTGGAAGGAGGGCGGGGGGAGGGGAGTGAGAAAGGAAAGGAGGGAAGGAGGAAGGAGGGTAGGAGGGAAGGAAAACGCTGGAGGCAAGAGATAAAAGCGAAGTGTATATTATTAAATTATTCCACGAGTTATGGCACCTGACTTTTGTGTGTGTCTCAGAACATAATCCTCATACGTATTTCTTCTTCAGTCGTCCATAAACACCATTACTACTATTGTCTCTCTCTAGTCGTGTTGGTCGTGTTTTGTCTCTCTCTCTCTCTCTCCGGCTGGTCGTGTTGTTATATTGTGCTCCTGGTCGCTCTTCTCCACACTACCAGAGAGAGAGAGAGAGAGAGAGAGAGAGAGAGAGAGAGATTATCCCTCTATTAACCTATCCCCCTCACCAACCACCCCTCCCACCCCCCTCCACCAACCCCCCACCAACCCCCTCCCACCAACCCCTCCCCCCCCCACCCCCTCCCACCCCCCCTCCCCACCCCCCCTCCCACTAATCCTCCCCCCCCTCACCCCCTCCCCAAAAATACAAAAACAAATCCAAACCCACGTCACTGAACGAGATTTTACACCTTTCTGATTGGCTGGTAAATAACTCCCTCTCTCACACGGTGTTTGGGTGTGTGTGGGGGTGTGGGTGTGTGTGTGTGTGTGTGTTTGAGTGTGTGGGTGTTTGAGTGTGTGGGTGTGTGTGTGTATTTTTTTGTTTTTATTTTTTGCCATCACACCTTCATAATTCAGCGGGCGTCTTGTAAACTTTTCCTTGCTTGGTGATTCGCCCCTTCAACCATGTCGGTTAGTTAATCTATGGTAATATATTCGGCACGATCTATACGCTAATCTCGACTATAATGTTATTTCGCTGTATACTGTTATAGGCAGCAGCAAGTTCCTCTCATTATATATTCACAGCGCATTACGTAACGACAATACCGGCAGAGAGAGAGAGAAGGGGGAATAAGGCACATGCAGGGAGAAGATAGGAGAGGAAGAGTAAAGGGGGAGAAAGGAGACAGAAAGACAAAAAAATAAAGCAATATATGATAAAAGAAGGAGAGAGATATTAACTACCATCTCGTCCCTGTCTTATACTCCCTTATCCACACTTATCCTCCCTTACCCCCTCTGCTACCCTTCCATACCCACCCTTACTTTTTACCCCCTTACACTCTCAAACACAATGACGTAACTAACTACCTCATTCAACCAGGTAACGATAACGAAGTCGAAATTACCTTACGACACACACACACAAAAAAATCGTAACTAGATGATTTTTTTTTATCCCAGGACAAAGAAAAAAAAAGAAGATAAATAATAACTATACTGATCCCCTGATGCTTTAACCTATACTAGAAAAAAAAGAAGGACCTCGTTTGAGTAAAATAATACATCAGTTAAGTCAGTAAAGGCATAAACAGAGTCAAACGATTAACGTAGGAATCTTTGTGTGAATATGGCCGTAATTATTCTAGCCATATTGACGGTCATAAATCATATTGAGTATCCTCGCTATTGTGGTATCATATTGGTTTCCGTCTGTACGCATCACCCACTGCCTACCTGTTCCGTGTGAGTGTTCATTGCCTCGTGCTGTAACGGGGGCTGCTGTAACGGGGGCTGGTTCACTGTATCTTATATAAGTAGGTCATTGTATCTTATATAAGTGGGTTATTGTATCTTATATAAGTGGGTTATTGTATCTTATAGTAGGTATTGTATCTTATAGTAGGCCATTGTATCTCTATAAATGGGTCACTGTATCTTTTATAAGTAGGTCATTGTATCTTATATAAGTAGGTCATTGTATCTTATATAAGTAGGTCATTGTATCTCTATAAATGGGTCATTGTATCTTATATAAGTAGGTCATTGTATCTCTAAGTAGGTCATTGTATCTCTATAAATGGGTCACTGTAACACCGTCAGCCCAGTAGCCCTATATCACCGTCAGCCCAGTAGCCCTGTATCACCGTCAGTCCCTGCCGTCAACCACCCGTCAATCGCTTCCTGCGGCAACAAAAGGACCAATGGTTGGTCCTTAACGCTGACGGCTACTGCCCTGACTGCCTGAGTGGCGGTGGTGAGAGAGAGAGAGAGAGAGAGAGAGAGAGAGAGAGAGAGTTCACCATAACTTAGTCATGCAGTTTACGAGATAATGAGGTCCAGGAGCCGACAGTGTATGAGGGGTGATGCGTTGGGTAGGGAGGGGTTGTGAGGTGGGGCAGGATGGTAAGGTGAGGCAGGGTTAGGGGTTGGAAGGGGGGAGGGGGGGTCACAGAAGGTCTCCGGAACCCTCAGTTGGTGGGTCGTCGGCCGCCACACACTGGGTTATGACCTCCAGCTTGCTGTTAATTTCCGCGGCGGAAGTGTGTGTTGATCACTGTCCCCTGGCTGCCTCTCTCACTCCTCCCCTCCCCTTCTCTCTCTCTCTCTCTCTCTCTCTCTCTCTCTCTCTCTCTCCCTTTTCTTCTGGTTTTCAGTGTCTCAATCTTTTTCTGTTTATCTCTCTGTCTCTCTCTGCCTGTCTAAGCCAAAATATATTTAGGTTATGTTAGGTTATGTTAAGTGAGGTCAAGTTACGTTATCTTTAGTATGGTTAGGTGAGTAATGATGATATGGCATCTATAGTTTGCATGATTATTATCAACATTGCCATATATATATATAAAGAAAAAAGATAAATATATAGAATTTATTGACGTTTTGCCATTATTCCATTATGTTCACTCTACCGGCGGGAACCAAACCCTTGACCCACGACTTAGAATTCCTACGGCGAGCGGCTCCCTGCTTAAACGGTTCACTTATTCGATTTTACTGTAACTGTTGACCAGAGCCACAAGATACACTGTTGACCAGAGCCACAAGATACACTGTTGACCAGAGCCACAAGATACACTGTTGACCAGAGCCACAAGATACACTGTTGACCAGAGCCACGAGATACACTGTTGACCAGAGCCACAAGATACACTGTTGACCAGAGCCACGAGATAAACGGAGCATTTAGGTTTTAGCAATTTTGTGCAGAACTCATGTGCGTGTACATCGCTCATGGATATACGCATAACTCTTATATAGTTATGCGTATTTGTGTGCGCGTGTGTATTCGATTACAGCAAGTTCATATTTACTGTACAGTATGTAATTGTATATTTTTCACCACTTGTCAGCTTACTGGTAGTTGGGCGATTGGTCAGTTATCTGTGGTGACTTTCATTGCCCAGTGTTAGTACGAGAAGAAACCGGAGTTCTCTGAGAAAACCTGTGGTGTTTGGCCGGGTCATGGAGGGCAACGCTCTTTTTACATTTTTCCCAGACAGGGATTTGAACCCCAGGAGACAGTAGGAGAAACTCGTGCGTTACCGCTGTTTCCCTCACAGAGGAATTCCTTGACGGTTCTTAGTCAGCCAGAGTCACTGTATGCGACCAGTGATTATGTACTAAAGTAACTAAACAAACATGTATGCTCCATAAAATATCACGGTATGAAGGTGTGGAACAACTTACCCCCACCCATCCGAGCAAAGACTACGCTCCCTTCCTTTAAATCATCTCTTAAAAAATATCTATTGTCTAGGTATTAATATATCTTGTAATACCTACTATATATACAGTACCTGTATTTATTGTACCATCAAAACCGTTTTATCGGAAATTATCATGTAAATAGATAAGAAATTACCATTGCAATAAATATATTTGCCATCTACACATAATACTGACAGCTCTGTCCTCTTGTTCAACCTTAATACTGTACAACCCATGTTGTACTGCTCCCCCATTATACTTATGTTTTTCAATTCTACTGTAATTTATGCATATACTTATAATAAAAAAGTAATAAATAAATAAAATAAATAAATATTGAAGTGATAACCGTGGTAACATTATGAGATGTTCTTATTGCCACCGTGCTATTGTACTATTCCAGGTGATACTAAATGTTACATAATACTTCCTTGAGATAAATGTATAGTATATATCAGGGAGAGCTCAGGTTCTCAACTGGCTCAGCCATGTTAATATTGTTATTATTATCCACTCTGTATCTGTAATTTTCAGGCTAAATAAACTGTTTCAATTAAATTCAATTCAACTATATACTGAAAAGAGCAGCTTTGGTGTGTGTGTGTGTGTGTGTGTGTGTGTGTGTGTGTGTGTGTGTGTGTGTGTACAAATAAACTTAATCCTATCATTCCAGGTATACAGTAATCATCAGTGACTGGTGGTGTGTGCTGGTCAACATCATCTCTTCTTGTGAGTCATCGTCATCTTCCCTTGTAACCACTAACATCACCTTCGTCTCCTCCGGTTAACCTCCTTTTAAGCCTCTGGTCAGCGTCTCACTCCTCCTCTCCTCGACTCAAATACTGTACGTCAATCCGCCCACTTACGTCATTGAGGCACCACCGAGTGATGTGGAGGAGGGGCGGCAGCAGAGCGAGGAAGAAGACGATGCTACGGGGTACGAGCACAGTAATAGGGAAAACGTGGTGGTTATTCTCCACCAGCGAGGAGTGTAGTGGTGGTGATGGTGGTGGTGGGGGAGAGTGTGGGTGGCTGGGGAGACGGGGAGTGGCAGGGATGAGGGAGGGAGTCAGTGTTGGTCTGGACGCCGAAGGTGACGGTGTGGCAACAGGCTGCTGCTGCTGTTGCCGCCACTGCTGCTGAGAGCGAGGCCATGTGACTACTGGGAGTCGTCTTCTTCTACTGCTGCCGCTCACACGTCGCGTCTAGCCACGTCGCACGACACGCGTACTGGGGACTTATCTCAAGCGAACAGTGGATACAGTATAGGAAGCGTGGATTGTCGTACTAGAACAAGGAAAACTTTCTAAAAACTGTCTGGCAGATCTTGAGAGTCTGCCACAGAAATACTTCGTATTTAGCGTGGCGCGAGATGTTCAACTCAGCGCTGATAAGACTGATACGAGTATGTGGCCTCACTCCGGGAGTTACTCTGCACAATGAATACTGAAGAGTGATTTTAACACATGATGTCTACCAGAGTGTTCCGACGGCGAGGCAGCAGCGGCTACACCAACAGGTTACTGTAACGCTGAGATCGCCGTCAGGTGAGTCCTGACAGCTGAGGATTTTATATATACATAATATATGTTACAATGAACAGGGATAATTGTCGATTAGCAATACAGTAGCTTTTATGTATTTATCTTTTTGGGAAACTTGTGACTGGCCATAAACGATCATATAGTTCATAAAAAAATATACATAAATGAATAGTTTCATATAAAGCCTAACCTAACCTAATGTTCATTGGGTAAAATTTTTGTTCTCTTATGATAGTAAACGACGCCTTAAATGAAACCGAGTAAACTACGCCATATACGAATTAATTTCCATTGAGTTAGAGCAATAAAAGCAAAATGTTATCCTTGTTCGACAAAAACTTCAGTTGTTTTTAAGGCTTAATCGGCGATTATCTCCGTTTAGCGTACAGTATATATATATACATATATATATATATATATATATATATATATATATATATATATATATATATATATATATATATATATATATATATATATATATATATATATATATATATATATATATATACTCTTGAATATGGAATATGAAGCATTTTACCTTTACATATATAATTAGTTTCTGGAGAATAATTGCCAAACATACACTCGACCACCATGTGTGAGCTGTACTTAAATCTTCAATTGGAATCAGAACAATAAAATTAATATATTATTTTGTATAATTACGAGGATCATAATAAGTCGAGAGCTGTTAATATAACGAGTAATGTTTAGTGTTCACACCCCCATCTGGTTATGGTGTAAGATATACACATGGAGGTGTTTGTTCTCACGTTATAACAGAACATTACGGTAGACTAAATCCTCAGCGTCAACAACTTCCTTACAAGTCGTCCTCAGCGTCATGCAAACAGTGACATCGATTCCGCTTCTAATTCTCAGAGTTTATAGCCAATACCAAGACCGACGTGAGAATTTAGGTGGAGTATCGTCAACACGCTATTATTACTTGATTACCCAGACGTTAGCGACACTTGGAGATAATCCTGTACGGTGTTAAGGCGACAAGCAGACAATAAGCACGACTCAGGTTCTTGTGTTCAGGTGTGTCCCGATACCTGGCGGAGGTGTGTGTAGAATGTGGTGGTGGTGTGGGTGTAGAATGTGGTGGTGTGTATGTGTGTGTGTGTGTGTGTACGTACGTAGAGTGTTTGGCAGTGTGTGTGTGTGTGTGTTCATTAACCTCGAGGTATTTAAGTAGAATAAGTTCAATAAAAAAAAGGATGATGATAATATTGATGTGAACAACAACTAGACACACTAAGATTTTTATGCCAAAGTCGTGGGATGACTTGCAGATTAGACACCCCAGCTTATTTGACCTGATGATTTAAGACTCTAACGCTAACCCACCTGACCTAACCTTGACCTAACCTAACCTACCCTGACCTAACCTAACCTACCCTGACCTAACCTACCATGACCTAACCTAACCTACCCTGACCTAACGTAACCTAACCAAACCTTCCCTGACCTAACCTAACCTACCCTGACCAAACCTAACCTATCCTGACCTAACCTAACCTAACCTAACTTAACTTAACCTTACCTAACCTAACCTAACTTAACTTAACCTAACCTAACACCCCAATTAGCGTTAGGGTGTATAATCATCAGGTGATATAAGCTGGGGCGTCTATTCTTTTGGTGATCATGTATGTATGTATGTATGTATGTATGTACGTACGTACGTGTGTATGTATGTACGTGCGTGTGTGTGTGTAAGTAAGCAAGCAAGCAGTAAGTATATGTGTATCTAATGTATGTATGTATGTATGTAAGTATATATGTAGGCATTTGAATGAAGTAAAATTTTGTATTACATTTTAATTATGTAATACGATGACCAAGATCTCATAAGCAGGCTAGGTTAGGTTAGGTTAGGTTAGGTTGGGTTAGGTTAGGTTAGGTAAGTTAAATTAGGTAATGGGTTGGGTTAGGTTAGTTTGGGTAACATAATCGAGTTACCAATCGCGAAACAGTGTCCAAATTATCGCATACAATCCTATCACCAATCACATGTCATTAGTTACCAAACAACCAATTATTAGGTATACGTTCGTTACTTGTGTCTCGTTAACCAATTAGAACCCTGGATTTCTACCACCATTACCCAATTTTGTTCAATCCGGTCGTTACCTTTTCTAAATTAACCTAATTAATCTTAAGCTAATCTAATCATATTAAGTAAGCTTGACCGTGATTGGCGAATGAAAATAAAACACTATACCTCAGCTTGACCGTGATTGGCGAATGAAATACAGACAAACTTATTAAACGAGAGAAACCCCATCTGTGATTGGTTGAGACAATTTACACTCCATGAATCACCACCGTAATGAATGAGGCTGTTGGGTTTGATAATGAGATCGAATACCTCACGAGTCTTCGATAACGAATAGCTTATAAGGCTCTTGGATTCTATTAAGAGTATTAAGTCCTCTTCAACAACAAGTGAATTAATGCAGGCGTATCTAGCGGATGGGTATATTTTTATTTTTATTTTTTATTTAAGTCTTTGTGAAATACCGCTATGAAATGTTGTGCTGTGATAGACTATTTATAATCATCTCTCTCTCTCTCTCTCTCTCTCTCTCTCTCTCGGTTTTCTCAGTCTCTTTGTTCCTTCTTTCTTTCTCTTTCTCTAGTTCTCCTTCTCTCTCTCTCTCTCTCTCTCGGCTCTTTCTCTTTCTCTGTCCATTCTATCTTTCTCTCACTTAGAAATTCAATTTTTTTTATCTATCGAGTAAGAAAATAAGAAAAATAAAACTCATAAACTGAACTAATAACCACACACACACACACACACATACATACATACATACATTACATACATACATACATACATACATACATACATTACATACATACATACATACATACATACATACATACATACATACATTACATACACACATACATACATACATTACATACATACATACATACATACCCCTTAGGAAACATCTACTCTGGATAGCCTTAGTGGTACGAGATCTCTTGTCAATCCTGGACTTAATATGTAACTCTTCTGGACCCCCAAACAGAATTAGATTTCCGCGAACCAATTGAATAAAGCCTATTAGACAGTCTCCCCTCTCTTCACTCTCTCTTTTTCTCTTCACCCTCCCCTCTCTATCCTCTCCCATCCCCCTCCCTCCTCCCTCTTCCTTCCTCCCTCCTCCTCCTCCTCCTGTTAACTCGGTGAAGACTTGGTGTTTTGGCTCTTTTAATATGCTCTCTCCAAAATCAACACCTCAATGGTGTGGTGTATCATGTGATATAATGAAGCTTCGATGACGCATTGTAACTGAAGCTTAAGCGTGCTTCACTAACAATAATATATCCAATGAATCAGTTGTTGATCACTAACAAGCATTGATGGTACTTGAATCCCGTTCCCTTAAATAACCACTGACACTACCCCTTACCCGTAAATAACCCTGTACACTACCCCTACCCTTAATAACCCCACTACACCCTTACCCTTAAATACCCCTTACACTACCCTCACTCCTTAAATAATCCCCTTACACTACCCTACCCACTCTCCAAATAACCTTACACTACCCTTACCCTTAAATAACCCCTTACACTACCCCCTTACCCTTAAATAACCCTTACACTACCCCCTTACCACCGAAACAAACAGCCAAACTACCCTCAACCGAACCCCTCAACCACAGTAAACAAGCGAGCTCAAGAATGATATCGAATCCTCCGCTATAATACCACACAGGTTTCAATACCACAAAGAGTACTTATATATAGGGGTTCGGATGGGGTTCGGATGACGGAGGGACGGAGTGGGTCTGGATGGGGTCTCTTGGGTGTAGTTGTTGACGTCAGATCCGGGATGGTTAAATTAAAAAAAAAAATCACACACTGGAATGAGGTCAAACACTAGTGTCAACATGACTGACACCTCGGACGGCAAACACGCAGTTATTACAGAGTGTGGGAGTATTCCTGGCTGGATGGGAGTGGGAGTATGTCGGTGGGAGTGAGGGTGTGTAGGAGAGGGAGTGAGGGAGTGAGGGTGTGTGGATAGGAGTGAGGGTGTGTAGGAGAGGGAGTGAGGGAGTGTGGATAGGAGTGAGGGTGTGTAGGAGAGGGAGTGAGGGAGTGTGGATAGGAGTGAGGGTGTGTAGGAGAGGGAGTGAGGGTGTGTGGATAGGAGTGAGGGTGTGTGGATAGAGTTAGGGTGTGCGGGTCGGGATGAGGATGTTTGTAAGCGCTGAGTCCGGTAAATAATATTTATCATATGGTACAATATTTATAAAACTACAAACACGTTATTTTTTGTATATTGTATCGCTTAAAATTTACGGTTCTGTAAAAAACGTACACATACACACATACAAACACACACACACAAACACACACACACACACACACACACACACACACAGTAAATATAAACACCACAAAAGCTTAATACACAGGTGGAGGAAATAAATCTAACCTTTAATTAATATATTTTTTAAATCCTCCATTTATTTTTATTTTATATATATATTTTTTTAATACTAACACCCAACATTATGTCATTCTAACAACATTACGTAATTCTACAGCTGACATCACTTACTGTTAAATAAAATATATGTTATCACAATTAACTCTTGAAAACAGATGACAATAATAATTAACATATCACAATATATTAATTCTGCCTGACAATGAGTGACTTTATCAGACGTGAGAGATGATAAAACTACTCTTGTGCTTAAACTCTCTCTCAGACAGTTGGGTACATTCTTCTATTCTTCATTCACGAGTTTTATTTTTCCCCTACGAGACTTTATGACTCCCGACAGAAGCCATTAACATTACATCCGCATTACGATCAGACACATGTGGTGGGTGTAAGTGACCTATTGTTGAGTACTTGGTGTAACCTACTGTTGGTGTACTCTGGAGTATTGAGTACGGTGTGGTTAGGGTGTGGTGTGGTGAGGGTGTGGTGTGTGAGGGTGTAGTGTGAGGGTGTGTAGTGG